TGATAATTTCTTGTGTCTTTTGTTGCCCCTTTCCTCCAGCACCTCACTCCCCCTTTTGAGACACCATCTCACAAAGCACGGGCTGGCATAAAACTCATTATGTAGCCAAGAGGGACCTTGATCTCTTGCTGGGATTACAGGTGTTCTCCCCCACTTGTGGTTCAGTGCCGGACTGGCATAGAAGCCCAGACTTCAAGCATGCTGTGTGTGGTGGTTTGAAAAAAAATGGTAGCCAAGTAGTGGGAGCACACCCTTAACCCCAGAACGAGGGAGGCAGAGCCAGGCAGTTATCAGATCAAGGTCAGTCTGATCTACAGAGTGAGTTACAGGATAGCCAGGGCTGTTACATAGAGAAACCCTGTCTTGAAAAACAAAACAAAAACAAATGTTTTCCTTTATAAGAGCTGTTGTGGTCATGGCAACTCTTCACAGCAATAGAAACCCTAAGACACTGGGCAAACAGTCTACCAACTGAGCCACATTCACAGATCTGTTTTGTACTTTCTCTAATGAAAAGAAATGGACTCTACAGGAAAAGTGACTGAATGCCAAAATGCAGGAGGAGAGGAATAAAAACTTCTGGGTCTCCCCAAACAGGCAAAGCAAGTGCTACCCTTCCCTCTGCCTGATCCTCAGGCAGACTGTTACTTCCAGGGACCTACCAAAGGGTGTTTACCCAGTCCTTGCTCAGATCAGTACTGATGGGGAAAGTCCTTCTGTTTATATTTATCTTATTGGTTGTTGAATAAAGCACTGTTCAGCCAATGAGGCAGAAAGATAGGTGGGACTAGGAGTCGAGGAGGATGATTCTGGGAATTGTAGTAAAAGAAGTCTTGTGATCCAGGCAGGAAGTGACATAGCAGGCAGACTCAGAATATAAGCAGGGACAAGCAGGAAATCGCTCTCTTTCTCCTCCTCTCTATGGAGTCATCATGTGACTGCTAGGAAGATAGGACGCAGGGCTGGCGTCCTCTATAAGTCTTATAAATATATAGATTAATAGTTATGGTTGATAATTAAGACTGATCTAGCAGATAAGAAATCCTAGTCATTGGCCAGCAGCATTGTACCTAATATAAGTCTCTGTGTGTTATTTTGGCCGCCCACGGGGCAGGTGGAACTCGGGCAGCTGGCGGGAAGATGGTAGTTACACACTACCATCCATGGGACAAAGGTGGTAACAGCCAGGGAGAAAGGGACTTAAATGTCTGACCAAGGCAAAGGATGAGTTCAGCTGGTCAGCAAATGCTGAGTTCCCAGTATGAGGCCGGGGTGTGGATGAGTGGGGAAGTGTCACCCTGGAGCACAGAAGCACCACACACATACCCAGAACACACAAACATTTAAATTACGTGGAAGAGTGATCAGCTCCACTGCCAAGAAGGTTTTCCTAGGAGCCTTGGTGTCAGGTGCAAAGGAAATTCCATTTCCTCAAATTCTGGTGGTTAGGCAAAAGCCAACATTCCTCAAGAACAAGTGATGCTGGTTCCCCTCTTCAAAAGGAGCCATGTCCCTTATCACTGGCAGGAGGGACAAAAGGCCATCTGTGGCGCCTATGGGCACACCAAAGGCCATGCTGCCTCCAGCCTCCCTTAGTATCACAAGTGCCGCTACACACTTCCGAGTCCATATAGACATCCCCTCTCTCTCTGTTTCTCTGTCTCCTTCCTCTCCCTCCCCCTCCTCTATTTTTCCAAACAGGGCTTCTCTGTGTAACAGCCCTGGCTGTCCTGTAACTAGTTCTGTAGACCAGGCTGGTCTCAAACTCAAGAGATCTGCCTGCCTTTGCCTCCCAAGTGCTGGGATTAAAGGTGTGCACCTTTAATTACTCTTTTCTCTTTTGCCAGCACTCTCTCCCCCCTCTCCCCCTCTCTTACCCCTTCTCTCTCCCTCCCTCTCTCTGTTCTGCTCCTGTTTTTCTCCTGGTCATGTCCAGCCTATTACTTTCCCTCTCTGCTCTGGACTCTTCCAGATGCCTCTGGCTGCTCGCTCTCATCTATGATTAAAACCTTCCCTTTTATGTCATCAGTTTAGACGCTGGGCAGAAGGAAGGGACTTGCTGTGATTATGGAGGTGTTAAGAGGCACAAAATGTACAATTGGTGACCAAGTCTATTTGATTCTAAATTTTCTTTCTTTCTTTCTTTCTTTTTTTTCTTGAGACAGGGTTTCTCTGTGTAACCTTGGAGCCTGTCCTGGATCTCATTTTGTAGACCAGGCTTGAACTCACTGAGATCCGCCTGCCTCTGTCTCCAAAGTGCTGGGATTAAAAGTGTGCACCACCAACGCCCGACTTCTTTTTTTTAAAGATTTTATTTATTTATTATGTATACAACATTCTGCTTCCATGTATATCTGCACAGCAGAAGAGGGCACCAGATCTCATAACAGGTGGTTTTTGGCCACATGTGGTTGCTGGAAATTAAGCTCAGGACCTCTGGAAGAACAGCCACTGCTCTTAACCTCTGAGCTATCTCTCCAGCCCAGCCTGGCTTCTTTTTAACCTTTAGAAAGTATTTGTGTGTGGGATAGAGTTGTGGAAGAGCACACTTACCCTGGTGTGCCTGCAGAGGTCAAAGGATTACTTGGGGAGTTTCTTCCCTTTCTCCACCATGTGGGTTGGAGGGACTGAACTCAGATTTGACAGCTGCAGATGCCTGTACTCACAGGGACATCTCCCTGACCCTAACTGGTTTCTTTCACATTGCTGTTCATCACTGAAGGAAGTCAGGACAGGAACTCAAGCAGGACAGGATCCTGGAGGCAGAAGCCCATGCAGAGGCCATGGAGGGTGCTGCTTACCAGCTTGTCCAACATGGCTTGCTCAGTCTGCTTTCTTATAGAACCCAGGACCACCAGCCCAGAGATGGTACCACCCACAATGGGCTGGCCTTCCCCTATCAATCACTAATTCGGAAAATGCCTTACATCTGGATCTAATGGAGGCATTGTCTCAATTGAGGTTCTCTCCTTTCTCTCTACCTCTAGCTTATATCAAACTGGCATAAATTAGCAATCACACAGTAGAAAACAACCTATTCCCACAAGCTTTACACACACATACAGAAATAAATGTAATAAAAGGGGGCAGGGACTGGAGAGATGGCTCAGAGGTTGACAGTGCTTTGCTGGACCAGAGTTTGGTTCCCAGTTAGGTGGCTCTCAACCCATCTGCCTGTGACTCCAGTTCCAGGAGGATATGAGACCATCTTCTGGCCCCTGTGGACACCTCTCTCGGTGTACACATACCCAGACATACACACTTATAATTTATTTAAAAATTAAGAATAAAGGAGAGAGGGGGCTGGAGAGATGGCTCAGAGGTTAAAGCACTGACTGTTCTTCCTGAGTTCAATTCCCAGCAACCACGTGGTGGCTCACAACCATCCGTTATAAGACCTGGTGCCCTCTTCTGGTGTGCAGATATACATGGAAATAGAATGTTGTATACATAATAAATGATTAATAAATTAATAAATGATTTTAAAAAGAATAAAGGAGAGGGGATGTAATTCAGCTGGTAGACTACTTGCCACCATGCAGGATTCTGGGTTTGATCCCCAGCACTGCATAAATTGGACATGGTGGCACACAACTGTATTCCCTATAGTGAGTTAGAGGCCAGCCTGGGCTACATGAGACCCTGACTTTATAATATAACTCATGGACTCAACAGTTACAAACATTCTTTTATTGTAAGTGAAGCTGGAAGCTCAATAATTTATCAGGCAGGGAACCCTCAGAAGTCCACTTCTGCCAGGTAGCAGTGGTGGCACACACCTTTAATCCCAGCACTTGGGAGGCAGAGGCAGGCGGATCTCTGTGAGTTTGAGGCCAGCCTGGTCTACAAAGCAAGTTCCAGGATAGTCAGGGCTACACATAGAAACCCTGTCTGGGGGGTGGGGGGTGGATCTAGTCCCCTTGGGTCCATGGGGTCAGTGGGAAGGTGACCCCAGAGACCTCCTGTGAGGGATGTTGGGGGCAGAACATTCAGTGCAAGGCACACAGATACATTCAGGAAATGAGAAGAGCCCGATGCTCTCTCTCTTTCTGAGAACAGTATCCCTAGTCGCCCAACAAGGCACAATGGCAGACAAGATTTGGCAGACTGGTTGAGTGTCAGGGGTCAACAAAGGACACCATGATGTATCGAGTGCCCCGGGTGGTAGGCAGCCCCTCATGGTAGTGTGTGAGGCGGCCAGGGTGCAGGAGAGCCCAGCCCTTCCTCGGGGATGAGATTCTGCAGTCATAACGCAGGAAGCGGCAGCCACCTCCCTGGGGAGACGAGAGAGAACATAAGAACAAAAGGTTAGCAGACAGCAGACATGGGGCTGTGGGGCAGGAGGGCAACAGGCCTGGGAGAGGTGCCAATCAAACAGCTGCCATGGGAGACAGGCAAGAGGGGCTATGTGGTGGTTACTGGATTGTCAACTCGATGGAACTTAGAGTCATCAAAGAAACAGGCCTCTGGGAACATGTGAGAGGAGTTTCTAGAATGAGTTAAAGAGGGGTAAGGGAGACCCACGCTGATAAAGGTGGCGCCATCTCATTGGCTGCAATCTAGGACTAATAAAAAGGAGAAAGTAAGGAATGGAGAGATGGCTCCGTGGTTAAGAACACCGGCTGCTCTTCCAGAGGACCTGGGCTCAATTCCCAGCACCCATATGCCAGCTCACAGCTCTTTGTAACTCCAGTTCCAGGGGATCTGGCATCCTCACACAGTCATACTTGCAGGCAAAACACCAATGCATATAAAATTAAATTTAAAAAAGAAAAAAGGAGAAAGTGAGGTGGGCACCAGGCTTCACCTCTTTGCTTCCTGACTGTGGATTCAACCTTACCAGTGGCTGCCCCTCCGCCATGATGGACTGTACTCCCAGAATGTGAGCCAAAACAGACCCTTCCTTCCTTCCATTGCTTTTGTCAAGAAATGGAATGTTTTGGCAGCAACAGAAAAGTAACCAATACAGACACGGGAAACTGGGGGGAAGTAGGGAAGCAGCTGGGATTATCAGGGACGAGGGAGTCTCAACGGAGGAAACACCTCCATCAGACTGGCCTGTGAGGCATTTTCTTGACTGATGATTGACGGGGGAGGACCCAGCCCACAGTGGATGGAGCCATCCCTGGGCTACTGGTATTGGGTTCTTTAACAAGGCAGGCTGAGCAAACCATGAAGAATAAGCCAGTTAGCAGCTCCCCTCTATGGCCTCTGCATCAGTTCCTGCCTTGCTTGAGTTACTGCCTGGGCTTCCCTCCATGACGGACTGTGAGCAGTCGAGCTGAGATGTGAGTGACCAGGCTAGAGTCTAGGAAAGGAGTTGAGACAGGTTGCAAGGTGAAGTGTGTGGAGGAGCCTGTGTCCTGAGACAGGGGGACCCCGGCCTCACCTCATAGTCCACGCCCTTGTGATTGAGGGCAACATTGAGGGTGAAGGTGGATGAGTCATGGTGTGGCCGAAGTGAGGGTTGCTCATCTGGCCGGTAGCGGACCACGAAGTTCATCACTGCCCGTGTCTGTGGTGACATGAGGTGGAAGCTATAGGAAGGGCAAGGAAACCCATGGCTCTCCCTTTTCTCACACTGTCTTTTTTTTGGAGGGGGGGGGATGACTTGGTTTTTTGAGACAAGGTCTCACTATGTACCCCTGGCTGTCTTATAGCTCACTATATAGACCAGGCTGGCCTCAAACTCAGAGATCCACCTGTCTCTGCCTCCCGAGTGCTGGGGTTAAAGGTGTGCACCACCATACCTCCTACTTTGTCTATTTTTTTTTTTTTTTTGAGACAGGGTCTCTCCATGTAACCCCATCTGGCTTGGAACTTGTTATATAGGTCAGGCTGACCTCAAACTCACAGAGCTCTTCCTGCCTCTGCCTCTTCCATGACACAAACATAGATGTGTCTCCCCCCCCCCCCAAGGCTCCTCCCCAGCACTGGGAATACAGATGTGTAATGGCATGCCCAGCTTTTTACACAGGTGCTGATGACATGAACTCAGGCCATCATACTTACATGACAAACACTTTATGGACCAAGCCATCTCCCTAGAGTCAAGGTGTCATGTAGCCCAGGCTGGCCTCAAACTCACTATGTAGCTACAGATGACCCTCAACTTCTGATCTTCCTCCTGCTTCTTCTGTCTGAGTGCTGGGACTACAGCCCCGTGTTATTATCCTACCTCCAGTTTACACAGGACTGCGGATGGAAGCCAGGGCTTTGTGTGTGCTGGGCAAGCATCTAACTGACCCACATCTCCAGCCCTACCTTCCTGTTTTAAGACAGGGTTTCCCTGTGCAGCTCATGCTCTCCTCAAACTCTTCATCTTCATGCCTCAGTTTCTCAAGTACTGAGGTTACAGGTGTCAGCGTGCCTGGCCAGTGATTCTTCTAATGATATAGCAACCTAAGTAGAAGACCTAATTTCTTCAAGCTCATCTCTATCCCAAGCCCTAAGTCTATGGAGCCTTAGTTGTTACAGGGATGGGGGGGGGTTGTTTGCATGTTCCATGTGGTGTCTTCTAAGACTCGGGTACAAAAAGAGGGAGAATCAGTGGTTGCAATACCTATCCTACCTTGGTGTGGTAGCCAGGGAACAGGTACTCTGTCATGGGCCCCACATATGTCCTCAGCAGCTGAAGCCACTGGTCTTCGTACCCCACCTGCTTCATGTGAATATCCACAGTGGGAACATTCTCGTATCCTCCAGCCAATCTGGAATCCTATGGACAACACACTGAGCCACTCGCATTCTTCCTCCAGGAGGACAAAGTAGCAGCTGCTTCTTGTTGGTTCCCAGGCTTTTTATTTTTCAAGACAGGGTTTCTCTGTGTAGCTCTGGCTGTCCTGGAACTCACTCTGTAGACCAGGCTGGCTTCAATCTCAGAGATCTGTCTGCCTCTGTCTCCCAAGTGCTAGGACTAAAGGCGTGCACCACCACCATCCAGCCTGAGTCTTAACACTTCAGTCCCTACCACCTAAAAGCAGTTTTCTTTTCCACTTGTCAGCCAGATCACTGCTGCTGGACCTGCTGTCCGCTCTCCTACCAATTGCTCTGACCTTCCCATGTTATCTAACACCCATAGCCCGTGAAGCACCCTCTATGTAAAACCTAACTCTGTCAACTTGATGGGCCCTAGGATCACCTAGAAGACAAGCCTCTGGGCATGTCAGGAGGGATCATCTGGATCAGGTTAATAAGATGGGAAGAGCTGGCTACTGTGGGCAGTGCCATCTCATGTGCCATGGTCCTGGCAAATGACAGAGAAAACGAGCTGAATGCCAGCACCCATCTCTCTCTGCTTCCCGACTATGCCATGGGATCAGCTGCCTCCCCCTCCTGCCGCCACACCTGCTTGCCATGATGGACTGTACCCACAGACCGAGCCCTGATAAACCCTTCCTTCAAGTTGCTTTTGTTAAATATTTTGTGACAGCAGCAAGACAAATAACATACCCAGAATGAGTCCCACCTCTGGGATTCCCCTCCACACCCCAATCCCACTCCCCTCGGCCAGCTCGCCCTGCCCCTCTTGGGAGCCCTCTGCCCTCACCTCATGCCGGCCTCCAGACCACTGGCCATAGTGCTCCATCTCCTCCACCAGCTCATCACACATCTGCTCTGTCAGCAGTGGGAACCAGTACACATCTGGGCATGGCTAAGGATAGACAGGGCAGCAAAGGACAAGATGAGGTGAAACTCACAGAAGAGGAGCAAGGGGTGGGACAGGCAAAAGGACAGGGGAGGGGAGAACAGGGCAACCTGAGCTCTCTAGGCAGCTGCTGCGGGAGACCTGCGCACAAAAGGGCAGGAATAGGGGGCCTGGTGCCCCAGTATCTAGGGTAATGATCCTGTTCTGTTTTTTTTTTTGAGACAGGGTCTTATGTAGCCCAGGCTGGCCTCAAACTCATTATGTAGCTGAGGCTGGCCTTGAACTTCTGATCCTCCTGCTTCCACCTCCCAAGTACTGAGATGACAGGCTTGCAGCACCATACTCAGTTTAAACAGATCTGGGGATCGAGCTTTGTGAACGCTAAGCAAGTGTTCCACCAAGTAAGGTTTATCCTTGCTATGTGTCTGAGGCTGGCCTTCAACTCCTAACCCTATCTTCTTGCTTCCACTACTTGAAATCTGGGAGTATAGGCACACACCATGCCTCTATTCATTTTCATGAGAGTATGGGCACACCTGTGTGGGGTGTGTACGCTCGAATGTATGTATGCGAAGGTCTGAGTTTGACATCAGGAACTGCTGGATTTTTCTTGCTGTCTTCATTGAGTCAGGATCTCTTAATCAAACCCAGAGCTTACTGATGCAGCCAATCTGGCTAGCCAGCTTGCTGAGGATCTTGGTCTCTGCCTTCTAAGGCTGGGATTACAGGCGGGCCACCACACATCTAGCATTTACTAAGTCCTCATGCTTATGTGTTAAGTGCTTAACCATGGAGTCATCTGTTCCATTTGGTTTTTTGAGACTTGGTCTTGCCACCTGACCATGGCTGGTCTGGAACTAAGTAGCTCAGGCTATCCTGGAACTCTCCGTCCTTCTACATCAGTTTCCAGACATCTAGGATTATAAGCCCTTAACACTTAGTGTGGCTATCAGCCTCCTTCTTGCTCAGACAGCAAACCCTCAATCGCTGGGAGCTCAGTGTGGACCCCACCAATCCCAGTGGTGGGCGCTTCCCAGAAGCTGAGGTCCTGGGGCAGCTTACCTGCTCCACTAGCCCCTGCCCATCCAGGGCCCGGCTGTAGTTCTCATGAATATACTGTTCTTTCCAGTCCTGAAGGGAGAGTTGCAGCATTTGAGTGGAATCTTCTTTACTTCCGCCATTGGGTTACAACCCCCCACCATGGTGGACAATGGCAGGGTGGCCCTGTTGGGTCAAAGGTCCCCTCTTACCACAGGGTTGTCAAAAATCTGCCAAAGGTCTGGGTGTAAGTGGTCAGTGTCATAGCGAGAAGTGGCCAGCAGTCGGCCAAACTCATGCTGATTGCTGAGGTGGAGGAAGATGCCCTGGAGTGGGGTAAAGGGTGGGCATGTGTGAGGAGGACAACAGGAAGCTGTCGACACAGCATCAAGTCCCCGGACTTGGCAACCCATGCCAACCACCCCACTCACCTTGTCCCGTAGGCTCTTACAGAAGGCCATATCTGGGTCGGTGTCACTGCCAGAGAACACCTCCTTCTGCGGCAGCTCTGTCCTCAGGGTCTCCCCGCGGATCACATACGCCTGGGATATGTAGGGCACATTCCACACTCCCCTGCAGTTATCGGGTATGATCAGCCAGATGGACAACCCCTCAGATTATGCTTTGTTCATTGTAGAAGCTCCTCCCGTCAGGGAACCCCAGAATCATGAGCCTGAAGCCATCACATCACTGATATAACATAACCACCCAATCCATTACCAGTCCCTCCCTACCCATAGCTGTGACTTGATGACCACATGGGATGCTACGTAGTGGGGACCCAGGGAAGGCTCTGGAGCCTGCACAGTACACATGGGTGGAACTCACACTCGCTTCCGCTGGACCAATTCCACATAGTCTTCAGAGCGGGCATAATACTCATCGGGGCTCAGGGCACCCCAGAAGTTGGACCAGAGCTTGCCATGGCGGGAAAGCATGGGGCATATTACCTTCCTGTGCATAAAATAGAGGAGAAGGATGAGCAGAGGGGACAGGACTATGTCCCATACAGGGAAGGGATGGAATTCCTAGGCCGTCCTGGGGCTCCATGGATGCGTGGAGTTGGTCACCTGTTTTGTTCAATCAAGATGCGCAAGGTCTCCGGGTTGGTAAGGACAGCATCAGCATCCAGGCTGAAGTAGAATTCACACTTGGGGTCCTGCCGACAGCTATCCCTGGAGGAGAAGACACACAAATGGGAAGATGAGCCCAAACAGGGGATAGGGTAGCAGGACAAGTGGCAAGTGGGGCTCTCCCAGCTCTGAGAAGAGGACAAGAGTCAGTGTCTCCTTCCCCAGGGCTCCGCAGATGATGAGGGTGGGGAGCAGAATGTAAAGATTTATCACATAGCCATGTCCCTGGCCTCCCCTGGGCTCAGTGCTTCCTCTGGCCCTACTAGCTTTGCAGCTGAGAAGTGGGCCTGGAGC